CTCTCTTCACGGTGGCAAATGTGTCCTCTACATAGCGCAGCCGGAGCTTTGGTGTAATTATAAGAAGGACATTTGATTATTACTTTTGCATTACGACTTCGACCTAACTCTTCAGCTATTTTGCTATAATTTCCCCGCATATGAAAGTGCTATATGGTAGAAAGTAAAGACCTGTAGCGATCTAATAAGTGGGTTGTACTCGGATCACTACAATCATCAGGTCGAAATCCCAGGTTGGAAGTTGAAAGACAAAAGTCACCAGAAGGAGCGGTTTATTGTGTACAGAACTCCCAATTGCTGTCTCAGGCAACAGAGGCCAGTGGCGAAGCCAGGGCTGGTGTTGACTGCGTCCAGCCAGACCTGAGAGTTAATGAGACTGTGGTGGCGGCTGCTTAAGGAGGAGTGCGGAGCAGGTTCAAGTGGTTTGCTATTGGTGTGTTACAATTCGTCTGTGGAGGTCTTTGCTGCATCGGCCGAGGGGAGGCGTATGCAAGTGATCCTTAGGCAGACGTGCTTATTTAGACAACCGTGTATGCGCGCGTGTCTGCACATTTGTGCGCGTGTCTGAATAATTTGAGGTCAACTGTGGGGGACCGCCGGAATGCCGAACGACAGGGGACGTGGCGCAGCTGTTATCGGTTAGCCAGAAGCAGCTGTGATGTCAAGTCTCGGGGGACGGGGGCGCCAGTGAAAGAAAGCAATTGAACAGTTGCTTGTGACGACGCATGACTTTGGGGCAGCAGGTCTTGGAGAACGAAGGGGGGCCGAGTATTGTGGCAGTCTGCCACAGACCTTAGCGATACAGCACCCGCGGAATTACCTCATACTCAGTCCCTCACAGCTAATCCTTTACACTATATTACTGCTAAAGGCTAGAGTAAGCACTCACGGTTAAGTGCAGTTCTTAAACGGGCTGCTGCAAAATAGATGCTTTTAGCGATCAGACTGCATGGTCCATGATGACATGATTGTAAACTGTCTCTGAATTGGAAAATGTATCTTGGTTGGTGATGTTCCTATGGAGTTATACCAGAGACAGTTTTGGTGGCGTCTCTGTAGCCATGTTCATTGCAGAAAGAATACGGAGAAACTGGAATGGCCTTTTCTGGCATATTCGCTGTCGCCAGCTAACAATACGCAATCTCAGGTTTGGATAACTTAGAACCTAGGATCATTTCAACGCACTACTACGGAGTCACAGGCCCTTTGACCTGCTCGCTGTGATCAACAGTACTTATTGTCGTGAGAACTTCCTTCAGCGGTAAGGTTAGAGGACATGCTCGTCCCGTGTACGCG